TCTTTTCCCTCATCCTCAAAATATATATTTCGACCGAGGGAGGAATATACCCTCTCGGTGTACTTACATTCATTGACGTATCCCTCTAGGGATTTATATCATACATTCCTTGTTAAAATTTCTCCTTTTGCCAAAATAAAATCCAAAACGTAACAGTGTATATTACGTTGTTTCAAAATTTGTAGATATTAATAACATATGTTAAAAATCTCATTTACATTACTACTGTAATAAAAACATGGCTGGATATCCAAACCAACAATCATCTAGGGTTCATCCACATCCACAACAAGCTTATCAGCAACAAGGATATTCACCTCAGGGAGGGCACCAAGGGTATCAGCAAGAATATTCTTCTCAGGGAGGACGCCAGCAAGAGTACTCTCCTCAAGGAGGACGTCAGCAAGAATACTCTCCTCAGGGAGAACGTCAACAAGGATACTCCCCTCAGGGAGGATACCAACAAGGATATTCTCCTCAAGCGGGACATCAACAAGGGTATCAATCGGATTACTATAATCAACGAAATAACACTTCATCACCTGGTGCGGATTATTATAATCAACGAAATAATACTTCATCACCTGGTGTGGATTATCATAACCAACGAACCAACACTTCATCACCTTCATCACCTTCATCACCTGGTTCGGATTATTATAACCAACGAAACAACACTTCATCACCTGGCGCAGATTATTATAACCAACGAAATAACATTCCACCAGTTAGTGTACAAAATCATTCATTGCAAAGACAGCAGAATTGGCCTGAACATCACGCTGTAAACTTAACTGATCGTTCTTTTAATGATAAGGCTAATAAAAGAAAGGTTAGTGAGAAAAAAGTAAAAGTTACAATTGAAAGTGGTCATCACGTGACAAGGTTCACTTACTCGTGACGTAACCTTTTTTTTTATAGTCCTTCCGCCACATTGAACTTACTAACGGGAACTTGGTACTTGATTGTCCGGTGCCAGACAAAGTACTTCGTAACGTGCGTTTTACGAAAGGAGATGAATTTGAACATATGAGATACACTGCTGTCACATGTGATCCCGATGATTTTGTTAAAAACAAATATTTGCTCCGACCTCGTATTTACGGACGAGAAACAGAGCTAATGATTGTTATGACAATGTATAATGAAGATGATAAATTGTTTATTAAAACCATGTCTTCTGCTATCAAAAATATTGCCTTCCTTTGCAAAAAAACAAGATCAAAAACATGGGGTAAACATTTTTTTTTTTTTTCTAGTAATAAATCAAGAGATAAATCTAACTTTTTCACTTCTTATCTAGGGGAAGATGGTTGGAAAAAGGTAGTGGTAGTAGTCGTCTCCGATGGGCGTAATAAAGTTAATCAACGTGTATTAAAAGTTCTTGGAGCTATGGGTGTTTATCAAGATGGAATTATGCAAGACAATGTTGATGGAAAACCTGTTACTGGGCATCTTTTTGAATATAGTTCTCAATTAATGGTTGACAAAGAATATGGCATTCGTGGTTTGGACAAGAATGTGTCACCTGTACAAATCTTGTTTTGTTTGAAAGAAAAGAATGCCAAGAAGTTAAATTCGCATCGATGGTTTTTTAATGCTTTTGCCGCTCAATTAAAGCCTAATGTTTGTATTTTACTTGACGTTGGCACTAAACCTTCCGGTACTTCGATTTACCATTTATGGAAAGGTAAATTTTTTTATCTTATTAAAATAATTATAATTTATGATATGATATAAAATAATTATTTTATCTTATTGATATAAAATAATTATAAGTTATGATATGATATAAAATAATTATTTTATCTTATTGATATAAAATAATTATAATTTATGATATGAGCTAAAGTATTTATTAAACAAATTTTCATTTATTTATTAGCTTTTGATCGCGATCCAGGAGTTGGAGGTGCTTGTGGTGAAATCAAAGCCGAACTTGGAGCTGGATGGATGAACCTTATTAACCCATTAATTGCATCCCAAAACTTTGAATATAAGATGTCCAACATTTTAGATAAACCTTTAGAGTCTGTTTTTGGATATATTTCCGTGTTGCCTGGTGCTTTCTCAGCTTATAGATACCAAGCATTAATAAATACTGCTCCTGGTAAAGGTCCTTTGGCTTCATACTTTAAAGGTGAAGCTATGCATGGTGCTAATGCTGCTAGTGCTGGTATTTTTGAAGCAAATATGTATTTGGCTGAAGATCGTATTTTATGTTTTGAACTTGTTGTTAAAAAACATGAATCTTGGAAATTGAAATATGTTAAGGTATAAACAATTTAAATAATCATGTTTACTTTTCATAATATAAAAAAAAATCTAATTTTATTTTTTTTCAATATTTAGTCTGCTAAAGCTGAAACTGATGTTCCAGACAATGTAGCTGAATTTATTTCCCAACGTCGTCGTTGGTTAAATGGATCTTTCTTTGCAGCTTTCTATTCTATTGCACACTTTACTAGAATTTGGTCTTCTGGTCAACCTTTTTACAGAATGATCTTGTTACAAATAGAGTTTATTTATAATGCTATTAATTTAATTTTCAATTGGTTTGCTTTGGTAAGATATAAAAAATCTTAGAAATTCAAATATTTTTTATATGCAAAAAATTAATTTATTTATTTATTTATTTTCTTAGGGTAATTTCTATTTGGCATTCTTCTTCTTAACACAGTCTACCTTCGCAACTATCGGTAAACATGGAAGAGAAATGTTTAATTTTGCGCGTTCTCTTTACGTGATGGTTATAATCACAGTTTTCATCTGTTCTATGGGTAACAGACCTCAAGGATCAAAAAGGATATATACGTTGTGTATAATTGTGTTTGCATTCCTAATGTTGACAATGATGGGCTGTGCTGCTTACACTGTATATTTAAGTTTCAAAGATACTAATCTCAAAAGTTACACGGATATCAAAAACGCGCTTAATCAAGCAGCGTTCAGAGATATTGTAATTTCATTACTATCAACTTATGGTCTTTATTTTGGTGCCTCAATAATTCACTTTGAACCCTGGCATATGATTACCTGTTTAATTCAATATACATTACTTATTCCATTTTACGTTAACATCCTAATGGTTTACGCGTTTTGTAACACACATGATGTTTCATGGGGAACAAAAGGTGATAATGGAAACGCTGGTTCATTAGGAAGTGCCCAGGCGGTATCTGGTAAAGATGGGAAACAAATGATGAAAGTAGAAATGCTTCATGAACGTGAGGATATTAATTCGGCATATGACAATTTGGTTAAAGATCTTAGAATTAAAGTACACGAAGAAAAAAGTCATAGAGATGCTGCAACTAAAAAAGAAGATTATTATAGAATGTTTAGAACTAACCTTGTTCTGGCTTGGATGTTTTCTAATGCTATTCTAGTAGTGTTCTTTACTTCTGATAGTTGGAATGACATTGCGAAAAAAATAACTGGAGAAGATAACGTTGCCTTTAACCCATATTTAACCTTTAGTAAGTATTACTTTTGGGTACATATTCATTTATTGACTTTTTTTTACCTATCTAATTCTTTATATTTTTTTCACTATTTTATAGTTTTTTGGTCCGTTACTGGTCTTTCTGCATTTAGAGCATTCGGTTGTGTATGGTATTTAATTCTTAGAGTAATATTTGGTTAGAATGTTAGAGATTTCATAAATCACATTCCTACATTATATCGATTATAACCTTTTTCATTATATCCGTCTTATAAATGTTTAATTTATTAATTTATATATTTATGTATAGTATAAATTATTTTCTTTTAAAAATGAATCAGTTATCTTTTTTTGGTATAAGATTTTATTTAATCTTAATTTTACAAAATAAAAAAAAAAAAAAAATTTACATAAACTGAAGTTTATTTAAAGTTAGGGCTAGCTAGGATTAGAAACATCGTTATAGGCAGGGATGTACATTTTTGATGTCTAAAGGCTTTTTTGACATGTCTAACGTCCAAACGTCCAAGTGTCCAAAGCTCATCTAAGCTTTGATAATTAACAAATCTATTTTAAAGAAGCATGATTATATATTTTATTTAATAAAATTTTGAGCAATTTTAATATTTAAAAATGTCCAAGATGTCCAAACTTTGTCTAGTGACCTCCCTGGTTATAGGTAAATCTAGTGCTGAAAGCTTCGCTTAGAACCCAAAGTAAAAAAAAGGTTTATCATTATTTGTCATGGCTGATGCTAAAACACTAACGTATTTGTTTATCTCAAAGAAGGTTATTCACTTTTACAGTTATAAGCAACAAAATTAATGTAACTAATGTGGTGTTCTTGCAAAGTACAGCTTTTAATGCTTTTCTCCATAGCGATGTATCTCTACCGGGTCTATGTCAAATTCAAAATTCAGAAAATCAAAATTCCAAAACTTAATTGTCGTTTCGCGCGATGTCGGGGTTTCAATATCCAAACTCCGCCAATGATTAGTAATCTATAGGTAGTCTATATTACAAATCATGGGCGGAGTTTGAATATGAAACCTCGATAACACACGATGCGACAACTAAGTCTCAGACACATCGCTATAGCGATTAAATAAAAAATCCTAATAATAATAATTTTTCACATTGACGATTTGCAATTGCACATGAAAGTAAGTTTTATAATCATGGAGGTAATCAAATATGATAGTAATATTCATTCGGTAATGTTATAATATTGAAAGAACTATAATTAGAACAAGGAAAATGCGTAGCATTATATATCTGGAACATATCATAAGGCGATTATTTTTATTTGAACACGTGTGCGGGCAGACAAAAAATTTTCAGATTACGTTTTCCTCAAACCGAATTTCAGATCCGAATGTTTTAATCCGAATTGAAACACCAACCAAACCTAAAAAATTTTCATAATTAGATTAGGGCTAGGTTTTGTCACTAGATTAGGTTAGAAGAATTTAATATTATCAAAAATTCATGAGAAAAATTCTTTGTTAATGCGCAGAAGACAGTTGCATAGATAAAATATATATGTATCTATGTAATTCCCACTTAACTTACTACGTAATCATTTCTTAATATTATTTTTAAACTTTAGCAAAGCTTTTTTTTAGCAATAAATAGATAAAATTCAATTTTTTTTTTATCTTAAATGTTTGTAAAATTAAAATCAAAAAAAATTATCAAATTTGATCTAGTAGTTGTTAAATTAAAGTTTGAGAACTATTTTATTACAGTATTGATAAAATACTTGCATATAAATTTTCTTTAAAATTTCAAGGATCCAACGAATCATAGGCCGGAATAACTCATTTTAATATAAATTAATGAGATTAAAATAAAATTAAATCAAAGTATTTATAATTAATAAACAAACGAATAAATAAATAGATGTGATAATTGAATCCTATAAACTCAATAATCTGTTTATTGCTATAAATTTATATTACTATATTAAAACATTAATCAATAATAACGTGATTCTAAATTCAGTGCAGCAATAAATATTCATATACGTACGTACGTATATTGTAAAAGGTGGATTTGAATAATCAGGTCTTACAGCTAAAACACCACTTAAAAATGAAGACTATTCGAAAGAAGAAAATCAAGAGACGTACTGGTTATAGTATTTATAAATACTATAACCATACAGCTTTAATCGAAGGTTATGGATGACTACTTAATGAAGAGGATTACTAATTATGTATGAGAACATTAATGGTAAAGATTATTACATTATTAGATTATGAGTTAATTAGAATTAAATAAATAAACAAGGCCAAAGCTCATTGCTTATATAGAGAGTATATAATAAAGTAATAGAATAAAGATCTAATATAAATGATATAACTAATAAGTATGAATATCGTATGTTACCGAATACATAGAGGCAACCATTCTGGTCCAATTTTATTAGTATCGTATAAATCCGAAACAACACCCGCCTGCACGTTAATTAATTGACCCGCGCGTTATTTCGAGTACGTTCATGTGCGTTATACCGTACAGCGCGGACTATATATAGTACCCCGGATACGATACTGTACATTCCACAGCTAAAATCCAAGTTAGTACCCGTATCCAATTAAATTTTACAACTTGAAGTAATAGTCTAGAGCGATTAATTTATTTGCGCTCGTGATACAACCCAAAAAGGAAAAGCACTGATGATTACTCAACATGTGAGAGTTACAACGGTAGGGTTTGTAAGGACTAAAGTTAGAAAAGAGCATAATATATACTAAAATTACTAGTCAATTTTGAAATATTCGACATGCATTCGACTAACAATCGGAACAGTGTTGGGCTCTGGACCAAAAGTACTTATAAACTGGACCACTGGACCTATAAGTCCAGTTCCAGTTCAATTTTACTGGACTTATAAGCGAGCCCAACACT